CAGTAGCCTATTTCTTGGTTTATGAATTGATAAAGAAAAAAATGGTTATTAGAATTTTCTGTATTTTAGATTTTTATCCTATACACCTTCTTGAAACCGTTGGTGTTTACCACCACTTATCTGTTAAATAAGATGGCAAAAAATCTAAATCTGTACCAAATACATATTGAGGGGAAAGTTTTCTGAAGGTGCTGAGCACTTAACTTCATAGTTTCTTATTTTCAAGGACATATACTCCTGGTTGTAATGTTATGTTTTATATAAAGCAGTGATAGTTTCTCTTGGTAAAATTGTTTCTAGTTTGTAGGGTGAATTAAATATATCAGTATTTATGGTGTTCCTACCAGATGGCTATCATTTTTAGTTATTTTACTACTGAAATAAATTGGGAAACAACCGAATATGTAAGCAGATGTTAAACACAATGAGCAAACAATTTTATCAATTTGTCTATTTATAGCCTGACATTGCATAGAGGCTGTACAGCTGCTAATGTTACAAATGCTCAGACAATAGGTATAGCAATGAGAGCAACATAGTCTGAAAACATTTTCTTGAAATATATGGTATCTGAAATAAGCCTAGAAGGATAAACCAAATCTGGAAAAAGTACTTTGGAAGTACAATGGTGGTAATGTTAATTTTACAATGATACTTTAAATAATTTTATTTTTTCAAGTTGTTAAGGTCATATGTACATTGCAAAAATAAATAATAATTAAACTATCAAGACAGAGAGGAAAATAACTTTTTTCTGGGTACTTTGTAATGGTTATGATCAACTGCCTACATAATTTTGAATCCATGTTTTTCAGTTGAGACTTCAAATTTTTTTCATGTTAATAAAATCTGTGGATGCGGTATCTTTAATGGCTGCATAATATGCCACTATAAAGATATATCAACCTATATACCGATTTCCTTATTACTGTACATTTAGGTACAAGTTTTTCATTTTTCACTATTGTAAGCCTAAGATGAACAGGGTAGTTGAACCACTTTTTGTGGTGCCTAGATCTTGCTCTAGCCTCAGTCAGCCATGTACTTTGGGGAGGCCTGACCCAGTGCCAGGAGCGGGAGCTATGCCCTTGGCCATGAAGGTTCCTTCAGGGATGGACATGTAACCATTTTAAAAAGACAGTATGTTCCCATGACACTCTTCACTCGGAAATTTTATTTCCGGAGGCAGAATTACTGTGTGGCACCAGGACGCCTTCCAATGTAACAGCTAAACATAACCACAGTACAAAATGCGGGTTGGGATAATTAAAAGGCACAGGGAATGTGATTCAACGAAAAGAGAGAGGGGGTCTGAGATGTTTGGAGAATAGAAAGGAAAAGAAGGGGACCTACCTGAAGCCAGGATAGAATTTATGTCCAGAGAAAAAGCTGGTAAAATAAGAATCAGCATATAAAAGTAAATACATTGAAATTTAGGATACATACATTTCATAATTTTTGTTGTTGTTGATACATTTTAAATCCTGGGACAAAAATTTCTACTCTATTGATTAAAAAGGTTCCTGGATTACCAAATGTTAGCAGAACTGAAATCTTCAAGAAAAACCTTATTACCTGAAGGTTGCTGAGTATTTGGCCTACATATAACCTCAGCTCATAAGTTTAAGTCAAGGACTAAGAGAGGAAAAAGGTAATCTCTAAGGAATTTGAAAACAAGGAAAAGTATCTACTGCTGTCCGAAGAGACAGCTCCAGTTTGGGTTGTCCAGAGTCATATGTCTCTGAAAGGCTGAAAGACACGGTCATACTCTCATGAAGTTTGAATGAATTTAGTGGATCCTGGAATCTTTGGGTCTTTACTGACAAGAAATAAACCTAAATTAATAAAAGTTCATGGATCCCTGCTAGCTTACCAAGTGACAAGCAGTGCTTGTACCAGGAAGATACACTTGTAGGGACAGGGCAGGCTGAAGGAATTTAGAACCTCGGAGATCACACTAAAGGAAATGATCTATGAGCCAGTGGAAGACAGATGAGTTTGTCTGTCATATGAGGCTCTAAACTGGAAGGCACAGACATTTCAGATCCACATGCAATACTGGATAAAGCTTTAATTTAAGCCCAAGTCACTTGGTGCAGTGGCCAGAGTATTGTTACCTGCTACAATGGCTGGCAGGTTGCCAGTACTTTATATACTGCTTCTGAAATACTGAAAGGCTGTTTTGACCCTTTTTAAAAGAAGTAGGTGGATACAAATATTCGAAGTGGCTATAAGAATACCTATAAAAAGTATAAAAATATCAATAAAGCAGGCACAGGAAAATTATAGATAGAAGAACAAGGCCAAAGGAAAAGCTCAGACACAAAAATGAATGCCATATGGATCTACCCATTCCCTACGATGACCTGCAAATTTGCCTTTGAGTTTCCTGCCGGCCAAGGCACTAAGAGCCCTTAAGACAATGAATCACACTGCCCATGAGGAATAGGCATATTTGTGTTTTTTTTTGTTGGAGGGTGAGGGAATTTTCCATATATGAATATTTAGTACTAATTAGGTTCAGAAGTCTCTAAGCTGCCATTATAACAATTATTGCTTTTCTTATATGGCACTTAATACTTTGCAGAGTCATTTCACATATTTCCTTTAATCAGCACAAAAATCATGTGCTGCAAGATTTGAGGGGAAGGTATTATTTATTAAAGCAATAATGTATCTTTCATTCATGCATAAAGGAACCTTGTCTCATTGGAAACAATGTAAAAGTAGAAAATGAGCAGAAAGATCTGTGAGATAAATCAAATAACGCCAAGTGCATGCACAGAAAAGAGCCTCTCACTCAGAACCTATATTCTCTTATGTAACCCAAAATTTTAGCAAAGTTAGTTAATTTCCTTCCTAAAATCACTGCAGATTAAAAGAAAAAGAATCGGAACTATTACAGAGAGGTACTCTGAAAGTCCCCCAAGCTGGTATGTGTGAAAGCAGAGGCAAGAACTTTTAAAAAGGCAAAAGAGAAGTTAGTGTAGAAACTGAAAACCCTGAACGTTCACCAAGTAGCACAGGCAGGGATGGGTCATGGGCTCAGTCTCTCCAGCCTCGACAGACCCTACCCATCCTGAATCGGTTTTCCACACAGCTACCTCACCATCTTTCAGGGACAGAAATCTGATCAGGGCCACCAGCTCCCAGCTCATCTGGCCTTTCATGACCTTCCAGGGCTTATCAGAATAAAATATCCTTACTTAAAATGGCCCACAAGGTCCTGCAGGTTCTGGCCGGTGCTGCAACCGTCTCCAGCCCGTTGCACACTCCCTCTGACTTCAGCCCCACCTGGTGGGCTGCTTCGCATTTTCCTCTCCCTACCTCAGCTGTGTCTCACTGCTGCCTCTCCTGGGCGACCTGAAAGGTCATTTTCTTGGAAAGCTTTATCTAATCCTGGAGTCTAGATTAGGTTTCCCGGTGAACCCTTAGCACCTTTGCAGTTGCGAATTTATTGCAGCTACACCTAATTATTAGTTTGATTGTTTAATATCTGTTTCCTCCAGGATACTGTGGGCTCTGGGAGAACACGGACTGTACCTGGAATTCATGCTCAATAAATATTTACTGAAAAAAAAAAAGAATATGTAATGTCACATCTTCCTAATATTTAGTAGTTCAACTTTACTAAAAGATCTTTTGGAAGAAGGAGGAGATATTTTTCTGTATTAAAGCAAAAAAGATTTTTTATGAAGTAGAATGCAAAATTCATACGAATTTTAAAGCTAAATCACAGGACTTGGAGAATGCTTCAGTCTATGCCCCCAGATTTTTCTGTAGCCATTGTGCTTAAGATAATATGGAAACACGGACTAATAAAAGAGCCATAAAGGGATCTGGATAACCAAGGCTTATCTTCATTTTACTAAATGAGAATATATGCATGAAGAGGGCTTTGCAAAATGTAAATATAATTTACTATTACTGAGAAATCTCTGTCCCGACAAAGGGGAATGATTTGGCTCATATTACACCGCCAATTACTGGTGAGGCTGGCGACAGAACCGAGGTCTCCCGTGGCCTGTCCAGCGCACTGCTTTTCATTAAGGCACAGCACCTGCCACCTGGTCCCTGCTGCAAAGGTCCCCCCTCTCCCTCCCATCCACGTCTAGGGCTCATGCCCTAAGCCAGGCGCAAATATACTTTCAGTTCTCATCAACAAGAACTGGGAAGCGGGCAGAAAAACCAGGACGAACATTTCCCGGCATCACAATCTAGAGGCTTTCTGCTTTTCACCCTCAAGACTGGGCAGTTCCCCTCGAAGGCTGCAAACCCAAGAGGCTTGCCCCCTAGCGGCAAACACTGAGAACTGCAGCGCGTTCCGGAGACACCGCCAATCCTCATTTCTGAGGGTGTTCTTACTGCCGCCAGGCCAGGAGGTGCAGGCACTATTTAGGGAGACCGGGAAGCGGGAAAACTCGGAAGTAACTAAGCGCAGAGAACACACCACAGAAGGCGACGCCGCTGCCTGATTTTGTGGTCCTTTGGCGTGGTCTGCTCCTGCGCATCGAGGTTGGCCACAGCAGCTGCTTCAGAACCCGGGGACCCCCTTAGGCTTCGGCCCAGGAAGGTGGAAGTCCCATCCAATCCCCTCGGGGATGCAGCCTCATTTCCCGCTCCCTGCGCCCCGCCGGGAGCCGGAGGAGCCCGGAGCTAAGGCAAGGGCCGGGTTGAGAGAGGCGGCGAGAGGTATCGGGTCCCCTCACGCCCACCCGTGCCGGGGCTTCGGCCGACGCTCCACCGGGGACACCGCCCCGCGGCATTGGGCTCGCGCTGCGCGCGCACGCGGGTGGGCGTGGGAGGCAGGGGCGCTACTCGCACGGAGCGCGCGCGCGCGCGCTCCCCCCGCTCACCCTCCCGCGCAGGCCGGGCAGGCTCGGCCCCCGCTCGCGTCACGAGGGGCGGGAGGGTGGTGAGAAGGGGGTGGGGCCGCGGACCGGAGGGGCCCGAGCGGCTGCTGCGGAGCCCTAGCCGGAGCTGGGCGAGGGCGGCTGCGGTCGCGGCGGCGGCGGTGGCAGCTGCGGTAGCGACGGGAGAAGATGGTGGCGCTGGAGGTAGGAGCGCCTGGAGCGGAGCTTTATTCCCAGGCTTGGCACCGGCGCTGTCATTAGCGCCGCCTGCTCCCGCGGGCCCGCGGACCCGCAGACCCAGCTGTCAGGCAAGGTACCTCCGCCAGGGAGGGGAGGGTGAATGGGGGTGCCCGGCGGTGATGCCGCCCCCGACGGAGCCCGGGTCCTCGCCATCCCTGCTTAAGGGCGCCCCCGGGTGCAAGAGGGGGATGCATGGAACAATAGTGCCGATGAGCGAGGACAGCCGGCGACATCCAGGGGGCAATTCCTTTAGCCATCGAGCCAGCGGGGCGGGGGAAGGGGGAGTTGAAGGTAGAGACGCCTGGTGTCCTGTGCGCGCTGAGATGTGGGGCTTTGGGGGAAGCGGGCAGGCCTGATGACAGACGTGATAGGAGTGTGTGTGTGTGTGTGTGTGTGTGTGTGTGTGTGTGTAAAAGGTACAGCCAAGGGGACGGGGTGGTGGACTGGAGCTGTTGGGGAATGACATTTCCAGGAATCCGGGCTAGGATCCCTTATCCCTCCACAGACTCTGGGAGAAAGAGTGTGGTGATGGCAAGGATGAAGTGGACAGGATGCACTTACGGTGTGAGTGTGGAGGGAGCCAGTGGGGTAGGGGCAGATTTGTAAAATCCTGTGTATGAGTGTGTGTACTCGTGTGGTTTTGTGTACTCGTGTGGTTGCATCCACGCTCCCCAAACTGCGCTCCAAACCTAGAGATCCGCGGGTGCCCCGACTTGCTGTCACCGCTGGCTGTGGGACAGTGTTATTTTGCCCCTGCAACTCTGAGTACAGGCTCTGTTCCGCTCTTGCTCTTGCGTGTGGATGGCCGGGTGGAGGGATTCTTACTTCCCCCTTCTCTGGCCTCTTGACACGGGGATGTAAAAGTGTGCATGTGGCTTTGCGCGCATGGCAGGGAAATAGGATAATGGTTACTCCTTCTGGGCTTGCTGGTGTCCCTGGTTTTGAAGGGAACCTCCATCCTGTGACACTTCTCTCCTCTGTAAGGGTCTTAGCCGCCCTGACTCTGCAGTTTCTATTGTTTATCTCTTGCCTGACTTGGAGGAGAAAGGTCTTTAATGGCCACATTCCTTTCTCAATCCGCACAACTTTGAATGCCAACTACACCTTCCCATTCCACATTTAAACGCTGGAAACCTAATGGCTGAAGAATGGGTGGTCTTAATGTTGGTTCTTTCAGAATGAACTCTGAACGTGTGAACAGAGAGATTTGGTGGTGGGGGGCAGTGTTTAAAAAGAAGAACAAGATCGTACTGAGTATTTGGTATTCCATCGGTCATCGTCACATAGGCAGGGCATTCTCCTTAGGAAAAGGGATACTTTATTTCTGTTGCTAGAGACATCCACTCTCCCAGCTTTCACGATGGCTAGGTGGTGCCATGTATCATTTGGAAACTAAAATCCCCCAAGACCCAAGGTGATGGGGTCTCCGGTTGGCAAAGCCTGCTTTCCCAGCCAATGTAGCCTACTGACAATTTGGCAAATATCAGATTGTCAATAAGTCACCCAGTGGGAACCAGGATAGAGAACTGCATCCAGAGTCTATAGCTGTTTAATTGCCTCTGCGTAATAAAGATAGGCTTGTATAGCATTGGGTAGGAAGATAGGAAGGGAGATGGCATATTCATATGTATGTCTACTGCAGTTTGACTTCCCAGCGCCTTTATTTCTCCTGTGGTATTTGTAGAAATGAGTGCACCTTTAACTTAATATGTTGATACTTCTTTATTAAAATGTCGTGTGACTAGATTTACCTGCTTAGAACATATCTGAATTATAACACCTTAAATTCTACTGCATTGCTGTCAGAATCCAAACTGGCTGCCCCAGTCCTCTTTGTAGCCGTCACAGCTACACAAGTAAATATACAGCACATTGACGTCAGAGGTTCTTTCTTTTAGTTTTTTAAAAATTTTGTTTAGTTTTAGCAATCGTTGCATGATATCATTGTTGCATTGAAAATAATAACACAAGAGCTATCCACACATGTATTTTTCTTTCCATTTATCTTCTCTTAATAAATGATGATAGATAGACCAGGTGCTCTTGAAGCTATGAACATCAAACTTCCCTATGTCCTTCAAGTCAAGCCTTCTAAAATTTTAATGTGAGGTGTTGGAGCTTGTCCAAGATTTAAGGATAGATTTATAAAACTGAATTCTGAATCTCAGTTCTTTACTCTCTTATTAGTTCTGCCAATTTCTTTCTCAGAAAAGTACTTAAGGAATTTAAAAGGCATCCTAAGAGGTTTGTTTGTTTTTTAAAAAGTTGCCTTTATATTTGCATGTAAAATCCAGTGATATAAATATCTTACCAGAAAGTATAAGAATATTAGGAATCACCAAGGTAAATAAACTGTTTAGGAAAAGAAGAATTATACAACAGCATAATTGATGACTCAGGAATCAGTGATTTCCTTTCTTATGCAAATGTGATCATTTTTGCAATGCCTGGCGTTTTTAAAGATTGGACTAGTAAGGTTGCTTGTGACAGCCTGAATCCTGTAATTCCCTCTGGCGTGCAGTTGTGCCTTTTGGTGTAGCCTGCAACCAGTCACTTGTTTTGATAGATGTGTTTTCTTCACTTAAAGTAGCATTAATGCCTTCCTTTTTCATTATTACATCTCTTAAAGGAGTTTGTTTTTCAGAAGACTTAGAAAGAAAAGATATTTGAAAACTGACCTATGGGGCCAAAAGGAATAAACTGTGGGGGAGATGGGACTTGTATTCTACAAGGAAAAAGTGATTGCTGCTAAACTTAAAATAATTTCAAGCCTAAAATCCATAGTTAGCCCTTTGAAGTACCATCATTAATTTACAAATATTTGTTAATTGCCTATTACATCTGGGGTACTACATACCTTTGGATAGGGTTTGGGACGTGTTGGGAGAGCTGGGGATTTGAAGAATAAGGAAACTTGGATCCTTCCCAGAGGAAGTTCATGGCCTGGAAAGGGAGAAAGGGCATGGTGCATGTAGCTAACTATAAAAAAAAATAGTGGAGAATGGTTGAATGCTGAAAAAGCCCTATTTCCGCAGTGTTGTGGGAGTTCACAAGATGCACCAATGACTTCAAGTGGAAGAATTAGGGAAGGTTACATGAAAGAGAAGTTGAGCTGGATTTATACAGGTGGCATTTGGGCTGCAGGGAAGAAAGGGCACACTTGGGGAGGTCTGCGTAGCAAAGATGTAGTGGTGGAAAGGTGCCTGCATGGAGAACGAAGATTGGTGTGCTTTGACTGCAGCCCAGGGAATACCACGAGATGTAATGGGAGAGGTAATAAGGTGCAAAAGAGAGGTTCTTTCAAGGTTGTGGAGCAACTTGTATGCAGGTTTTACTCAGTGGGTACCAGGGAGCCATGGAAGGTTGCTGAGGAGGAGTGTTGACAGGATCAGATCTGTGCTTTCGAGTGATGATCTCATAGCATTGTGTTGGCTGTGATGAAATGAGCAAAGGCTGGCAGTAGTGAGGCCACGTAGACTGCAGTCAAATTAGGGGTAACGGAACGTAAGGCAGGGGAGTTAAGAGGAAGAGACAGACTCTAAGGGACAGGGTGCAGGAATAATCTGAACCTTTAGTGAGAAAGTCAAAGGTCATTGTCAGACTCAGCCAAGAGCATGATTGGGCCATTGGCAGAAAGTTCAGAAGAGGATAAGAAAGAGAAAAGACTTTCAGTTGGGCATGACAGGTTTGTCCAAATGAAGGGACTAGAATACGGGCGTCAGTCTTCGAAGAGTGGTTACAGCTACAAAGAGAGACTAGCAAGTCATCACTTAGGAGCAATTTTGATGTCTCAGGCCCGGCCGATAAAGAAAATGGAGCAAAAAAGAAGCAAAGGGTTAAGGCAGGATCCTTGAGGGATGTCGATATGTTGGAGGGAAAGAGAGAAAGAAGAGGAGAACAATATTAAACAGGCGGCTGGAGGAAAATGGTAGCAGTAGTGTGGTGTCATGGAAGCTAGGAAAGGTGAGGGGAGCTTCCGTCTCCATCACGCTGACAGCATGCCCTGTGGCGGTGGGGTTGCAACGGAGGGACCACCGCTGGCTTTGGTGCCTGGCTTTCCTTGGTTATCTTTGAGGGAGGTGGAAGTGGCAGCCAGGCTGCGAGAGTTGGAGAGCGGGGGCTGATGCACACGGACAGCAGTGAAGGCAGGCGTCTTCGTTAATAAGTCAGGTGGTAAAGGAGGAAAGGTTGATGTGTCAAAGCAATGGCATAGTAGAGGGAAGGGAATGTTTTTAGCACAGGAAGGCTCGAGCCTACATTAAAAGTGGAGGAGAAGAAGCTGCTGAAGGGAGGAGATTGAAAGTGAAAGGGAGAGGCTCACCTGATGAAATGGAATATTCAAGATGATGGGAGCAAACTGGATGAAGGCCAAGGGAAGACTCTTGAGACAGAAGCACGGGAATTTTGAGGTGGAACGAAAGGAATTTGGCCCCAGCCTTCTAAGTCAGGAGTCCCCAATTCCCGGGCCAGGAGCCAGTACTGGTCCATGGCCTGTTAGGAAGCGAGCCGCACAGCAGGAGGTGAGCTTGAATGCAATGCACTTGAATCATCCTGAAACCATCACCTCAACCCTGCTCTGTGAAAAGTTGTCTTCCACGAAACCAGTCCCTGGTGCCGAAAAGGTTGGGGACTGCTCTTCTAAGTATAAAGTGAACAGAAAGGTGAGCAGATGAGTAGAATAACAAAAACTTGGAGTGTGTATTGTGCAAATACAGCAGTGAATCAGTTAAGGGTGAGTGAAAGATTATCACCCAACTATGAGGGTCTGCTGCTCTTGGAGAGCATGAATTTGCACCAGAACCGATTAGCCCTATGTGATTAGAATTTAACAACTACTTATATAATTTTTGTGATAGTAAGCAGTAAATATTGTTAAATGTATTTGTAGTTCCTCCTTCCCTTAAATTCAATGAAAAGAGAGAAATATTTACCTTTACAATTAGCTGAATAAAAGACTCTACCTGTGGAGTATTTCCTGTGAATATTCTCCCTTGGAGATTGCTGACTTAAATAAAAAAAGGCCTATGGTAAAATAAAGGGGGAAAAGCATAAGTATGATAAAAAATAAAAGAT